TAAGGATTGAGTTTTATTCAGAATGGTAAAATACCAACTTTCATTGGTGATTTATGTGGCACAATATTCTTTTCTGAGCAAACATCAGAATCATGCATCACAGAGCAAGGAGGAGGTTTGAAGAAAGTTGGCATGTTTCATATAAGAATGTTTGCAATACTAATTATATGAGCACAATTATTTCTGAGATTGTGCTTTATCTTCTGTAGATAAAATAAGCAAAGGCATGCATTGATCTTGCTTTTTTTAAGAACACAATTTTTTCTATTTTGGCAAGTTTTACTTTTGGTAAAATTTTTAGCTTGGCTTTAAAACTAAAAGAATTTTTTAGTCTTCTTCAACCATGTCATACTGAAACTTTGACGATCACAAAGTTGACAAGCTGGCTACGAGCAAAATTTAGTGATCAAGGCTCAAACAAAAGAACTTTTGAAAATCAAATATATTCAGAGTTCATGAAATATATTAGACAAGTAGCAAGTAAGTAAAGAGAGAAAATCACTTTTGATGGTTTTTAAATTACATCACAATTACATACTGATATTTATATCATTGTGATATTCAATTGAGATAAAAGAAATTTAGGTTTGTAGGACATTACAACTTTAGGTGGAAGACGGGGAGATATCAAATTGCAGCACATATTGATGTTTGTGACATGTGCAGATGAGGAGTCACCCATTGGTTTCACTATATCAACAAGCATAACATTTGTTCCTGCACAAGAAGATGGCAAATTTGTTCCAACAGCTAATACATGTATTTGTGCAATTAGTCTTCCACATGCCACAACCCTAATTCCTCTACCTACACCTGATAGACTTTACTCATTATACGACTATGCGTTTGCAAATGCCTTCTTTGAAAATATGTAAAAACATGTAAACAACGCAGTGGAATTTTTCATTAAAACCATTTGATGTGTTCTTTGTTATTTGTAACATATTTTAACAAGCTTTTGATTGCTGGTCTGCAGTCTGATATTGCCTGCACATGAAAAACTGTTAAGTGACAAGAGAAAACATGTGACACTTATTATCTTAAAAAGTGAACGCATGAGCAAGGGTAGTTGCTTTGTGTAATTTAATTTATAATACATTATAAAGTACATTAGTTTGTTTAACTATCGTTTGCTTATACTTCCATTTGTAACACATATAATTAATGAAATTTCAAAGGTGCCTTTTGATGATATCTAAAGTTGCCAGATAATCTTGAATGCCATGGTTTAACTAAGTCCAGTTTGAAGAAGTCCTGTTCAGTTCCTGTAGACAAGCTGCAGGCAATGAGGATAGCAAAAGCAAAATAATTGGTCGTTCTCTTGTGTTTGCTCTTCGTTTCATCTACAAGATCACCATTACTTCCCATTCTGTCTGGGTAACTGCTTGAGCCAACTGGATTTTGAAATTGACCTGCAAGCCACATTTGTGCAGGAATTGCTAGTTGTTTGCATGCGATGATGAGCCCAAGCCATTCTCCAAGTGTCTAGCTTTACATTCACAAAAGGCAAATAAACATAATGCAAAGATGCCAAATGTGATTCAACTAATGGATCAAGCACACCCTCTCCTTCCAAGAAATAAAAAAGTTAATAAAAATAGCTGAGCACACCATCATAGATATTCCTCCATAATCTTTCAATTCACTGGCTGTGTGTGCTCTTTCCTGCAATAACACTTGCCCGACCAGTCTCTCTCTTCTCAATCATGTATTGTGCAATCCCAGCATCTTAAAGACCCTTGTCTATCCTAATTCTCCTAGGCAAGCCATATTTGTGTGCAGCATGACAAAAGCAGGTGAAGACAGTTTTTGCTTTATTGTTGTCTGAACATTTTAGCATGACAGGTAAGCGACTAAAACCATCAATCCCTCCAATAATTATCATATTCCAACGAATAAGTTTGTGCTTTGTGTCTATGTGCCATAGGTGGTTTAGCACTTGGACGTGATAAACCCTTCTTTGCAGCCTTTCCTTTTTCTTTGAGCAACGCCCTCCTCGTCAATCCTATGTATGCTATCACGTAAACGCCACAGCTGTACTTTAATACTATTTCCAATAAGAATCTGCTTTAACATGTTCTCGCCGCAGTGGGGAACGTTTGGGCGATCTTAGCAATTTCTTCACACAAATCCTCGTCCGTAATTACAGAGAATTCATTCTTACAGAGGCCAAGCTTTCTCATTCGCCGGTATAATATGCTCTCAGAAACTGAGAGTAGTTTTGCAATTTCTGTTATCGTGAAATCTTGTTCCAAATAGCCTTCAAGAAGAAGCTTCGGTATATTAAACTGTAAAGCTCCGTATGCATTCCGTGCTCTAGTTGGTGGTTCGCTCAATTCACATTTCACACACTCTACTCGTATTGACATAATGCTGGAATGGTTTTGGATCCTTAACTCTTTGAAATTATTGAGAGAAACCTTACAAACTAAGTCTGGCGTTATTTTCTCAAAAGTAAATCGCTCCATAAGTGATCTAGTCGCAACTTTTGTAAAATAAATGACATTTGGGACCCCATTTTGAAACTATGAAAAAAATAAAATGAAGAATTTATAAGCTGATGCGTCAGCGCTGACCATCAATAGCGGCGCACCGAATATAATGACCAAAGCACCGCGTATAAAGGTCAAAGCAGCGCGTATAATGGTCAAAGCACCCATTGAAATAAATTTGCACGACTTAAGACAGCTATGGCTTTCCATACACGACGTAAACAAGACAACAAATGAATTGACGTTCATCTTAACGTTCAACCGACGTTTTAACAACGTCAGACAATAACGACGGGCACGCGACCAAAAAAAATCATCTTAAACTAACGTTCATCTTAACGTTTAACCGACGTTGAAGCAACGTCAGACAATAACGACGAGCACGCGACCAAAAAATCACCTTTTACTGACGTTCGTCCTAACGTTTAACCGACGTTGAAACAACGTCAGACAATAACGACGGGCACGCGACCAATAAATCACCTTGCACTAACGTTCATCTTAACGTTTAGACAACGTTGTTTTAACGTTACAACATAACTTCCCTACCTAATGTTAATGTTAACGTTTAACCAAGTTGACACAACTTGGTTAAAATTTGAATAAGAAAAACAACGTGGTAAGAACGTTTTATTAACGTTATGTCATAACGTAACGTAAATACCACCTTCAGCCAAGTTTAAGAAAACGTCTTGTGCTAGCTGGGTAGTGGTACGGATGTGAAGAGTGATGTCACGTCATAGAATATTATTGCTTCGTGTGGTCGTAGTTTTATGTTGTCAATGCTGGCGAGGAAGGTGATGGCGTTTCTGATTCTAGGTGGTGAATTTTTGACTAATGGATAGAGCAGCTAAATTTCGTCACAACGTCAACACTAACCTCTGCCACAAACCACCAGTTACTCTAAACAACGAAGAACTATAAAGGCTGAAACACACTAGGCAGGTGATGTGTTAAGACCAGAAAAGCTTAAGAGGGATGGAATTGCCTTAATTGGGTGTTAAGCGAAGATAAGGAGGCTTTTGTAGATTATGAGGTCGAATGTGCCGAACCAGGATGAGATGATTTTGAAGTCGTCAGGAGAAGCAGGGTGGTTGGAGGATTTACTATGAGAAAGAATACTTGCATTAATGGGTTAGTATAGCGTTTTCCAGTCAAAGGAGAGATCCCCAAGTGTTCCGAGATTCTGGTGTTTAAGTGGCGTTTGATTTGACTCACATACGACGCGGAACAGCATAAACACGAGTATAAATAGACAACACCAGATCTCAGAGACTTAGGAATTTTGTTTGCGGGTTTGTAAGGAGTGACAGTCTGTGAATGGGAGACAGAATTACACTATTTTCTTTGGCACACTAAGGAGTGATGGTTTCTATTCCAATTTCGTGTCAAGGAAACGATGGAAAATGTGGTCGAACATATTTGTTGGATAGCAATTGAGTTTGAGTAGTTTTCTAATGGTTTCAATTTGGGCATGAAAAGTCTCATAACTGGGGAAAAGGTTGAAAAAGCAGTGTAATGAGCCAAAGATTAAGTTGCGTTTGTAAAAACATGCGATAAAGCTGTGAAAGTTTGTGAACAGACTGGTGAATGTGGGTTTACGATATACAGAGGTGGTGAATTTGTCGTTAGAGCGGTAAATGTCAATGTCTAAAAATGGCAGACGTCCATTACTTTCCGTCTCAAAAGTGAAAGTGATGTTGGGGTGTTGATGGTTGATGTAATCTAAAAAGAGAGGAACGTGATCAAGAGATTTAGAAAGGAGGAATCAGTCATCGACATATCGTCTGTAGAGAATAGTTTTGAATTTGTGGGGACAGTTTTTCAGCCAATTTTGTTCATGGAAAGACATGAGTATGTTGTAAAAAAGGGGGGCCAATGGGACTACCCATAGCAACGTCATTAACTTCGTGGTATGACAGTCGTTAAACATAATGCGACAATTTTTAACAGATAGCGTTGGTAGATCAAAGAATTCGACGCAAGTGAGTCCATGAAATTGTCTATAATTAGTAAAAAGAAGATCACAGATGATATTGATTGTTTCATTAAGGGGATTGTTGGTGAAAAGGGAAGTTACGTCAAAACTAGTTATAAAAACTTTGTTAGAGTTGATGTTGGTGTTAAGTATTTCTTGTGGGAAGGAGAATGAGTCCTTTGTCATGAAAGAGATTGTGGAGATTGGTGTAAGCAACGAAATGAAAAATTTAGCTAGTTTATATGAATAGTGATTTATAGAAGATAGAATGGGTCGTAAGGGAATAGTTGGTTTGTGAATTTTCGGAAGTCCATACAGTATACATATGTGTGAGCCACTGGGATAAAATTAATTGTAAGTTTGTTTATCAATTGATTTCGCTTTCTTGAGTTGTTTAAGTAATGATTTCTCCTGGGTTTCATTACTCATTACTCAAAACCAGTACCGCAATATTGGGCTGTAATATTTATACATGATAAGTTTTTTTAGAAATCCATTATTTTTTACTGATTGTTACTTGCATATATAATATGAGCGCCCTTAAACAACCAGAATTCAACATCATCGCCGTTATTACATGCATAATCACAGGAGGTATGAGTGGGAAAGTTAAAGGTCGTGTTAGTGACACTGCATTAGTTGGTTGTGGTGGATATGCAAATGATAAAGGAGCAGCTGCAACAACTGGTCATGGAGAGAAGTTGATAAAATTGACTCTAGCACGTCAAGTGGAAGCTAAAATGGAAAATGGAAGAAGTGCTCAGGTAGTGTAAAAAATGGATAAATTTTTTCTTCGTTTGGAAAAGCATCCATGGTTTCATGTTGAATAAACTAACTTTTTTATTTTTTTAACAAAAATGACCATTCAGTCTTACTACAAACTATGTTTTTAAAGATCCCAATGATCACCACCTTTAAGTTTTGCTAAAAGTTTTTATTCTGAAGTGTAAAAGCACATTGTCTGACTCGAGCATCCAGAGTAAGAGTGGCTACCTAATGCAGTGACCGCTGACGCGTCACCGGTTCTTCACAAAAGAAGCAATTTGGCGTAATGCTTCCGGGTTCACCAGTCGAACTTGTAAATGTGGTAGTGGCACTAGATCTTGTATACTTTCCAACCAACTGCCTGCTTATCACTCAAAGCACATCGTTTTCTAGCTAGTTGAAATTTTGTGGAATCGAACTTGCCATAGCAAGTGTGATGCCATTTGGCATGATGAAGAGTAAACGTCTCTTCTATTCCTTTCCCTTTGTCCAAACTTGACACACTATCAAGATCTTTTGGGAGGCAACCAAGGTCAGATAGCTCACTAATATTTTGGGCAAGGGTTCTATAACCGGCTCCTATGTTGATTTTGTATTTACTCGCTTTTTTGCTCTGATAATTAACACGATACCAGTCAGTTCGTTTGTGGTTTTCCTTAAATAAATCAAACACAAAGCAATCTATAGAAAAGAATTGCGAATTTAATTATTAAACCATGATACTTATCTGTCTTTTGCAAAAACGAGGAACCGTTTCTGAGTTATAGATAAACGTCATACCATAATGGGAACTATTAACTTCAAATTTTGCACATATCCGCCTCACTATGACGTATATTGGAGAACACGCTGCTGTTTAACGCTGTAGAATTAAGGTGTGATCCAATAATAAAGTGCAAAATACAACAAAAAGTTTATTAAAAGTACACTCTTCAACTTAGCTAAAAATATCACTATACTACGTGTATTTGTTAAGTTGCTCTGTTGAATCATTTTGGCAATTCTGGCATAAGACGTTTCCAAATCAAGTTTCATGTCAACTTTGTGTTTCTTTTTTAAAGGAAGCGACGGAATTAGCCATAAATTTACTTAGAGAAAAACGGATGGGATCAGGAGGAGCCATTGCAATTGACGAGAATGGAAATTTTTTGAAGAAATTTTCTACTCGCCTAATGTTTTGGGCAAGCATCGAAGATGATCAGTTGAAGGGTGGATTTGAAAAAGATGAAGAAGGAGAAGCAATAATAGGGTACAGCAAAAGACTGTTGAATTAGTATTAAAATGGCCATTATGTTATTATTTAGGGATATATTTCGGGCAATATTCTCTTTAATGTCGGTTAAATAAGGTCATACAACAATAGCATTGAAGTGCACCGATCAATGGCATCGAATTTTTAGAGCAAATAAGCAAATTGGGTATCGCAAAATTTTTCTCTCTATTTGACATTTTATGGGAAGGTAGCTTTCAATTTTATGGGATTCCAAACAAATTAAATAATTTAAACAAGTGATGTTTGAAAGGTCATTAAGAACTTAGTAAAAATAAATAAAAAATATACACATGAAAATCAATATGACCATAGCTATATAGTTAGTTAAATGGAAGTATTATTAAAACTTTAGCAGCTCAAATCAGGGTGCCCGTTCATGTCTGGACTTTACGTAGTTAATTTTATTTCAATTTAGATTATCACGCACTTTTCAAGATATTTCTTCGATCTTGACTTTTTTGAGGACTTTCTAAGTGCCCTTAATATTGATTTTTCAATTCATGGACTTTTCAAGGGCTTTAGGCATCAGCACGAGCCCTGTTGTGTTCAAAAATGCATTGCAATAACCACTTAACAAAACTTTTCTGCTTAGATTAATAATTGGGAGGGGAGAGGCGGAATTTGAGGTAATACTCATACACTGAGTACATGCCGTATGTTCCTTTGAAATACATTTTCTCTACGGACTATTATATGCCCCCACCCCAATTGTCAATCTTCGTACGGTCTTGGGCAGTAATGGTAACGATTAAACGTAATAAGAGGATCGTCAATTTAGTATAAACTCAAAATTTTCCGAATTTTAGATAACCCCTCCTACTTTATACATTAATGTAAGATACTAGGCTCTACCCATTCCCTTGTACGCAAATGTACTATGGTGCTTTAGATTAGCATATCTTGCAATCTGAGTCGAAAGTCAGTTTTTATAATAAAACAAAGGTTTAACTGATGCTAAGATTTCAAATGAGGAGGTAAGTTAAGTGTATTTATAATAATATAAAATTAAATTTGTACCAGATTGTAATCATTTAGAACTACATAAATCGTGATGAACAATCCATCAGCTAAAAGGCCATTTACCACGATAGACGCGGATCATGTATTGTAGACATTGTAGCCATACCACAAAAATAGAAACGTTATGAAAAGTATTCTGAGCGTGGCCATTATACACAAATTCTTACTAGATGAATTTTTATGGCATAAAAAAACAGCTGAGAATAAATAGAAAACAATTTGTTTGTGACAAGAGGATAAATGTGAAGAAATCACGATGGGTTATTAACATGAAAGCCTAACTTGACCTGGTTGGAATCCATTCGTAACTTCTGTAAGTCTGCTGCGAAAAATTTCCTGATCTTACATGGTTTTTCTTAGACTACAGACGGCAGACGTCATATTTTGAGTACAAAGAACATCCTCAATCCTGACCTTATTTCTTTTCACATTTTACATCTACATCAGGATTGGAAAAATAACTTCTTCATACATAGTAAAATCAAATTTAACAAAATTTGCTCAAATTTAAGAGCATTTGCAATAGATTTAATATGACGAGAGATTCATCTTCATATGTTTTTCTGACCTGCAGTAGGTTACTCCGCACCGGATGTGACGTAAAAAAGACACCCATTAAGATATAGCTTTTCTTATTCTGAATAAAGCTGTTAGAATAAATGTTCTTAAAAATCGCACTAAAAATTTAAGATAGTGCATAGGATATATAGTTTGACGATATCGTTTGAGTGAATAATCAAAGGAAACGGTTAAAAAGTAGAACAGTACTGATCACTTTGCCCAGGTCACTATTTCAGCGAGAACAAAAGGTACCCAACTTTTCAATATACAGAAATAATTCATTGCTTAAAACATTCATTGTTTATCTATGTTTCATTTCATTAGCATTATCACACTCCTTGATCTAGCCATTTTGACATTACTAAGTGCATAAATTTTGTCTAACGCTGCTCATTCATGCAAAAGCTTAAACAGAAATGACTTATGCTGTATGGAGTGCCAAATGTGCCAAAAAGATCACACAACATATATAAAGTCAAATATATAAGGCATAAATTGAATATGTTTAGTTAGAAATTAAACATCTTGTCACGAGAACGAGCTCTGTTGAAGGAAACCGAGAATATTTCGACAAAAGTAATGACATCAAGTTTATTTACTAATTGCAAATAAAAAGAATGATAGCACAACGCTATAACCAACAACTACAAACAATAACGACCTTATCTAACAACATTTGAGAAATTAACCTTCCACTCCTCTTCTTTGTAAACGATACAAGGTCGTTACTGTTTGTAGTTGTTGGTTTCTAGCGTTGTGCTATCATTCTTTTTGTTTAATAACATTCCAACTATTTAACCTTGTAATTGCAAATAAGTGACGACCAAAATCAACAGAGCTCGTTTTCATGACAGTATATCCAAACCGTACATAGTTTGTCTGTTCATTACATTGTGTGTATAAATACACCAATCTACATAAAATTTCTTTGAATTTTTTCTAACTTTTCGTGTTCAATTTATGTCTTATATATTTTTACTTTTACCTTCTGTATGTTGCGTGATCTTTTTAGGTCACATTTGGCACCCCATATACATGCGGGGGCAAGCTTTCTTCAATATTGCATAGACCCGACGCAACATGGGTCTTACAACGTGGGCTAATTACACAGCAATTGCATTTCATAAGTAAGCGTCTTGTTGTTGCGAATAATGCTCAGTCAGGGTGCTAGCATTTCAATTCAAATACCAAAAATAGTTGCATGATTTGATGCTTGATTTGCAAAGTATATTTTAAAAAGAGTGAAGTCAACTTTTAGATAAATTAAATGTTGTTTTTTGTATTTTGCCGACTCACTTACGCACTAGAATCCCAGTTCGATTGACAGGGACGATATATAAGTATCCTCTACAATATTTTTGACGTATTTTACTATTTCTAAGTATTTTAATGTTTTCCTATTGCTATCAGCGCAAAGCGATGGTAAATACCAATGAAATGCACGTTATAAGAATTATATAACTTTCATCGAGTCATTTGATTTTGTATTTTCTCACCTAGAATGCGTCATCTATGTTAAATATACATTCGTTGACATCTTTTAATACCGACAATAGTTTAGGAATTTTGATCATGAACAGGCGGAAGCCCCTGGACAGTTAACCTTTCAACTCTCAACCCTCGACATTAAACCCTCGACCAAACCCAACTCCTGCTGTTTGGTTAGGAACTAATGCAAGATTCAAAGCTTCTCAATCTGCGATTTTTACACATGTAAGACAGACCTGCTATCTTTCTGTTAAAGTAAGTAAAGTTTCTCATTTAGTACTTAAATGGAATTTGGTATTATTTGATGAACACAGACGTTAATGAGCGTCGATTATTAGGAAGCAATAAATATGTGTTCTCGTAAGTGAGTGTAAATGCAATATTTTTCAACAATTTTGGGTGTAAATGCGATAATGCTTATCATACAAAAACATCGTGATACTGTATATCATGTCGTTAATCTTCAAATAATTGTTATTAAAGCAAACCAGTTCAAGCGTATAATGTAAAACACTGACGAACAACCAACACCTTACAAACTCACGAGTTATAAAAACTTTTTGAAGCGGCTAAAAAACTAGAAAGCTCGTTATGTCATTCGCTATCGTGCAGCCTAGCAAAAATACTGTCACCTAACCTAGCTTTGAAATATAGGACTTACTTCCGCTTTCCTATTACCGGCACAGAGCCAGGTACATGATTTCATATTTAAACAACTTAATCATCGAAGCTTATGACGCTATTTCAATTTTTGTTAGCCGCATTTAGGTACGAATAGTGTTCCAACATCCAGAGAATGTATTAACTCTTTTGCATTGATTGTAACAAATCAATTGAGCATCCTAGGTAATGATAATATATTTAGTGCATGAAATTGCCTTATAATGTTCAGTGAAATCATTAATACTAAGTGTATAATTTGGATTATAAGCCACCTGTTTAAGTTGGTCTTTCTCTCTCTCGGAATTTGCTTTCCAAGAACAATTCATTTGTTAATACTGGTAACATAACACTAATGTTTATTATTTCCGTATCATAGATAGACATTATGCATGTTAACCTTCAATTTCATTTTACTTTTCCACTTAATGTTTCAAATTTTGTTCAAAAATCCTGTTTTCTCTAAAGTTCATTATCTAATTTTAAATTTTTCTGATGACATTACGTTAATTCTGGAAGCAAAACTTAAATTTCAAACAAGTAAGTTATGCAGTTACGCAACGTCCCCCCGAAATAATCAATATGAAATTAACTGTAAGCAGCATATCTAACTGAAGTCACACAAACTGCTAAAGGTGAAAGTTTGCGTGCTAGATTAATTATTTGAAATGCTTTAATGCATATTTTTTTTCGTTATTTTTGAAAGGATTTCTTCCATGTTCTTTAGAATGCCTCCACGTTTGTCAAAGTTTACAACGAGGGATGCTTCCTCTAATTCCCATAACGCTGTATCACTAAAGAACGAGACTGTGAGCTTCCTTTACATCTTGAATGTTTTAGTTGAAGAGGAAATAGTAGAAAATGAAAGGGATACTTGTCTCTTCTCGTTGATTTTATCTCGCCATGGTAATCAATCAATCTCAATGTCGCCTGAAATTTGCATTGAGAAGATCAGCAATTTCAAGTCCAATATATTTACGAGTGACGAGTTTGCACTTTTTCCTTTTGATGAGCAAGGCGAGGATAAATGGTTTAAGATGAAATTTGAACGTTCAAATAATAAAGGGGAAATAACTAACCACGAAATAAAAATCATTAATACATCTTCTAAAAAGAAAGCAATCGACCGTATCAAGGAAGAAATAAATTATGAAAATGAAGACCAAAGTAAAGAATTTTACTTCCATGGTACTAGTCACATGTTTGCTAAAAATATTCTCGAGCACGGTATTGATTTGAGTAAAGGTGGAGAAAATTGTGACTTGTCTCATAAGCACGGCTTTTACATGGCAAATAATTTTACGTACTCTTTAGAACACTTCTCATGTTTCCCGAAAAAGAAAGCGCCAGCAATTCTCATTTTTCATCTAAGTTCCGAAAATTTAAAGAACTTTAAAGAGTGCAACTTGTGCGGGAAAAATAATGAAACAACTCTTAATGAATTTATTAAATACAATAAGTCAAGTCAAGACAATAAGTTAAGAAAAAAACTATCCACGGATACAACTAAATTAATTGGAGATTTGAGGAAGTACGATCATATCAAAAGCCCTATAAAAAATGATGGCATTTATGGTAAAGACATAAAGAGCCTGCAGATTTGTATAAATAGCAAAAAAATGGCTGAGGATATTAGTATTGGCCCATTATTGGTTGCTGCAATATTTATAAAACCTAATTAGTTGGTGAACAATAGACATCACTAGAAAACTTCAATTTACTTTACTTTAAAATAAAATAGTTTAATTTGCATCTATTCTAGGCATTCGCACGTCAAGTAAAGAAATTCTTAGCAACATCAAACCAATAAAAGAATAAGCAGTTTCCCGTTCCCTCTTATACATAATGACGTAGCTAGTTTAGTGAGAATAAAAAGTTGTATCATTAGTTTTAAAGTATGAAAACCAATTTGACTAGCTAATAAAACACCTGTTAGGTTAGTAGTAGACTTAACCTTTGCACCTCTAACAAAAAATTATGGTACAAATAAAATCATTTAAATATTGAATTTGGAATGTAGGAGAGTTATGAGAGGTCTACAAACTCATTGCAAAGAACATATCTACACTAACTGCACTAGACATTAAAAGAGGACTGAGTGTGAAAATAGTATTATGTAAAGTTGATGTGTCTTCTCAAATTTCATCTTAATACCCATCCCCCCCTTTGTCTACTGTTTTCTGTACTTTTTAGTGCAACGATTATCGGGATTACTGTATATAACATTCGATTTACCAGGATTATCTACTCCCCATGTTTTGGGGAGCAGATAATCCCGGTAAATTGAATGTTATATACAGTATTTTAAAGGGTTGTAAATATAAATGAGTTTAAAAGTTTGAGGACTCTAACTATGTAGTATTAGTTATTTTTTGTTTCTTGAACTTTGTTATTTATACAACAGAGATTACAACAGCTGGCACCGATCACAACAATTCCTAACATCACCACAAACGTAAATTAGTTACACTTCAAATATCGCCAAATACAAATATGAATATGAAATATCAATATAAATATGTTCAATTATCACGTATAATATCCTATCACAATCAACTTGGTCATTGATTAATGTTAATACATTGTACTCTCGTAGCTATCTGTCATCGGGAATCCTGTTATGACTGTGACGATTAAGCTAATAGAAGAATACGTTTTGTCTACAACACTAATGATGTTGATAAAAATTATCAATAAAACTTTTTTTATTCTGTTATTCTTCAAAGTTTGATGTTTACGACATCATACTTTTGCCTGTTTGGCTCATTTATTTTATATCGCCATGTATCTATTGATAGGCTAACTAAATGTACACTCTCGAATGTTTTTTAAAAATAGGTGATCTATTTTTCTTTTACATTTTGGTATAGGCGCCTATCTGTATGAATGGGAAGGGTTAGTGTTAGTGGAACAGTGGCGTAGTTAGCGGCAGGACAAAAAAATTCCGTAAAATGAAACTAATGACAAATCAGTTTCACTTTATTCAAAATCCGCTTTAGTAGAAATTGGTTTCGCTGTAACTTGTGGTTAGCTTGCGCAGTAAAAACGAGAAATATTCTTGGCACTTGCTCAGCTTGTTTTTAAAGCCAGTTTTCTACTTGCAATTGATTTTTTTCGCACAAAACGATAATTTTCGACACGAAAAGTTTCGTGCGAATGGGTATATAATTTTCAGTAGTAATAACAAAACTCGAAAATACAAAAAATATTCATACAAAGTGGCTGAACCGGCGCATAAAAGAGAGCTTAGTATTTACGACGAGGAATATGTTTCCATAAGCATCGTTTGTTTCGTAGTTAGTCTGAGAAATTCCTTAGTCGAAATAGTCGGTTTCTTGTAGAGTAAAGTCGTTAGACATAAAGTGAATAAATTTTGTCTAACGCAGCTCATTTATGCAAAAGCTTACACAGATATGACGTTTGCTGTATGGAGTGCCAAACGTGCCAAAAAGATCACGCAAACATATATAAAGTCAAATATAAAAGGCATAAATTGAATATGTTTAGTTAGAAACTAAACAACTTGTCACGAGAACGAGCTCTGTTGAAGGAACCGAAAATATTTCGACAAAAGTAATGACGTCAGGTTATTTTAGTAATTGCAAATAAGTGACGACTAAAATCAACAGAGCTCGTTTTCATGAGCTAGTTTGTCTGTTCATTACACTGTGTGTATAAATGCACGCAATCTACATACATTTTCTTTGAATTTTTTCTAACTTTTCGTGTTCAATTTATGTCTTATATATTTTTACTTTTACCTTCTGTATGTTGCGTGATCTTTTTAGGTCACATTTGGCACCCCATATACATGCGGGGGCAAGCTTTCTTCAATATTGCATAGACCCGACGCAACATGGGTCTTACAACGTGGGCTAATTACACAGCAATTGCATTTCATAAGTAAGCGTCTTGTTGTTGTAAATAATGCTCAGTCAGGGTGCTAGCATTTCAATTCAAATACCAAAAATAGTTGCATGATTTGATGCTTGAACTGCAAAGTAAATTTTAAGAAGAGAGAGAAGAATTCCGAGGATCGAGAGTTGGAGGACAAAAATTGAAGTACAGGATTTGAGAATCGAAAACAGCAAAACAAAGCTTTTGACAAATTTAATCCAGGTGGCAAAAAAAAAATTGTTTGACTTGATGCTGACGTTCATGAAACTGGACTTAAAACTGGTGCTGGTGGAACAAGACGCTTTGTGCTATATTTGGTTCGAAAGGTATGAGTTGATACTGAACGGTATGTGTTTTTGTAGGGCATTAAATGTGCCTTTGCCAGAGCAATTTAAGGTTCTCTGTTTGTAAAGCAGTGGTAACGTATTTTGTATGGAAACAACTAAAAATTCTGAGGCCGGTTGTATACACTCAGTGTTAAATTCAGATAGCACAAAATACAGATTAAATACATGTTTTTTGATCTTGAGGTGATTACGGTAATTGATAACAAGTTGCTAGTTCCTGAAAGAACTGTTTTAAGTAAAGAGCACTAACCCAATAGTTCTAATTAAACGACACGATGCAATTCGGCTGTCAGGTTTTGTGATGTAGCCATCTACCTTCTTTAGTATATATTGACTTACACCAACAAATAGAGATATTACAGATAACTGTTATGATCACATTTAATGTTCAACGTCATTGTCTATGGTCTACGATCTATCTTACAATGGTTAAACTACTTTTACTTATACAAGATATTACGATATATTTGTTTTTTTTACTAAATATGGTTCATTTACAATCAACGGAAAGTTACTAGGAACTATAAAAAGTATTGTGATTATGGCACATAAGTATCTCTTAAAATAATCATTTAGTTAGTTGTACTTGACATAATTATTTACTAACTACATGAAGAATATGAGAGCATATTTTAACACCCCCGCTTGCTGTCTTGTGCCTTTTAAATATCTTAAACCATGTTTGGCAATAGATAAATCTGCTTGTGTGGGTTCAGACATTTTCTGAGATAGTTTAGTAACTATATAACATAAATCTGGTCTGGTTCAAGTCATCACATTTATTAAGCTTCCTACGATTGCTCTATATAATTTTGGATTTGATGGTACAGTGATTCTTTGCTCATAACTTTTCAATTCCTAAAGCACAGGGTGTCAGTTTTTGTCTGCCATCGGATATTTTAAATTTTAAAAGAACTTTCTGAATATACCGTCTTTGATTCATCTTATAACAATTTTCACTTCATTCAAATTTTATTCCTAAGATCCATTTTCAATAACACATTCAATAACAAAATGAAAGATCCATTCGCCTGGATCTTTCATTTTGAATCAATTGCTCAAAGAATCTTTTATGCTGTTTAAAGAATGAATGTCGCTTGCAGCTACATGATGTCATCCACCCAAATTATGACAATAACACATTGTTCACTATCAATAGTACGAACATATAAACATAGATCTGCAATTGATTGAACTAATTTTTTTTTTTACTAAAAATTCATGCAACAAATTGTTCCAACTCCTGCCGCTTTGCTTAAGACCGTAAAGTGATTTCTTTAAATTACAAACTAATTTTTCACCATTTTCACCTAACTTTTTATAGCCTTCTGGTGGATCAATGAAAATTTCACAAATAAATAGGTGCGTTCAAATAAGCGGTTTTGACATCCATTTGGTAAATGATCATGTCTTTGTTCACAGTGCGTTGTAGTAGTGTGCGAATTGAACTCATGCGTGCTGTGGGTGCGAATGTTTCTTGATAATCAATTTCCTGCATTTGAGAGCAACCTTTGGCTACGAATTTGGCTTTATACGTTTCCTCCTTGTTTTGATCTGTCTTATTTGTGCAAACCCATTTCGCCCCAACTGTCTGTCTATCTTTTGGTTTTGGTACAAGCTCATATGTATAATTTTCTACAATGGCTTTCATTTCAATATTCATGGCCTCTTGCCATTTGTTTGCATCATGTGCTTCAACAGGCTGTTTGAATTTTACTGTTAATGTCCTCAACCCTATAACAATAGTCTACTGTAAGACTTAAATTGTCGTTGGTTTAGTTTTGTCCAAAATAACTTGGTTTGCTTCGTTTTCGTGTGGTATATCTAACTAGTTGTTCTTGTTCATGCTGCCTTGTGCGTGCGTGTCACTACTTAATTCAGGATTGTTATTTTATGAAATATCTTTTTGTTCTTTTAAAGTGTTTGGCTTTTCTTTTTTTTCATTCATACTATTTGCATTTTGTACCCTATCTGAAATCATATCGTCGATATCATTTAATTGTTCTGCCTGAAATTTATCATGAAATTTGGCACATCGTGCTTTCTCTACTTTATTTCATTCTGAATAATAAATCAAATATGCCGGGCTTTCTTTGTCATAACCAACAAAGATTCCTTTTCGACCGCGATTATCTAACTTTTTGCCATTTTGTACATATGCATAACAAGTAGATCCAAATACATGCATGTTGCTTAAGTTTGGTTTCTTACCAACCAAAGCCTCGAAGGGCGTTTTTCCTAAACGTGAGTTGAAACATCTGTTTCGAATGTAGACTGAAGTCATCACAGCATAAGTCCACAAATATTTGGGTAGCTTTGCCTCTAATAAGAGACATCTTGCCATATTAAATAAAGTTTGCGATGCTCTTTCTAGTGTGCCGTTTTGATGCGGAGAATAAGGTGCACTTGTCTCATGTTTGATACAATGATTTCTTAACAAAGATTTGAATTCTCTATTAACAAACTCATCTCCGTTGTCACTTCGTAGTCTCTTAACTTTGCCATAAGGTGCACCGTCAGCAGCTAAGAACCTTTTCATAGCCTCAAGTGTATCACTTTGCCTTCTCAAGAAATAAATCAATCGTCTAAATATGATAAAGCATATTTAAAGCCGTCTTTAGCAGTAGGCTCATTGGCCCAGCTAAATCACAATGAACAAATTCTAATGGATATTTTGCTCTCAGACCTGGCTCCCTATTTCTGGTTTGACACATTTTGCCATGGGTACATACTTCACATTCTATTTCGCTGTAGTCAGTAATCTTCATGCCTTTGACTACCTTTCCTAGTTTTCTAATGTCACCATAATTACAATGACCTAATACCTTGTGCCAATCGTATAGTGTCGTTGCTGTGTTGCTCGACAAAGAAATATTATTTAAGTAATATAATCGACCTTTCTTCTCAAGTTTTAAATCACTGCCTTCCTCTGTTGTGTATTCACTTAATTGTTTTCCTAATTTAATTATTCCTCCTCTGTCTATTTCTGCGGATACTGAAAAGATATTTTGATTGTACGTCGGAATATAGAGCGCATTATGCAGGATTACATCATGCAAGTTACCATTAACATCAAATAACTAAACCTTAGCATTTCCCTTTCCTAATACAACATTAGCTCTACTCAATAAAATGAATATAACTATCAAAGTAGTTATCAAAGCTTTCAAATTTGGTATTGTCATTAATTATGTGACTCGTTGCTCCCGTGTCCACTAGCAAATTTGTTTCTTCTTGGCTTCTTCTTCTGTTCTTGTACTCTTGTATTGTGATTACAAATGAATGTTCGTCTTCTTTTGTTTTCTCTTTTCCTTTGTTTACTGTGTCCTTCTTCGTTGCCTTGCACTCATTTGTATAGTGAGTCTTGCTTTTGCACTTGGCACACCATTTTCCGTTTTTCATCCAGCACTCTGAATTATTATGACCTTTCTTGCAGAGCACGTAAATTGGTCTTGCCGCATTATAGGCATTATAGGCAACTGTAAATCATATATACTTTTTAAAATTTACATACGACTACTGCGTTCGCAAAATGCGCTTTCGAGTGAGTAAACGGATTATTATAACCCCTGTTGTGTATTATTTAAGCCACCTAAGGCTTTTAGCTGAATTTTTGTGAAGTAATAAATACGCGGCAAAATCATGCTCTTGACGACCAGGACATGAGGACAAGGCTCTTATAGTAAATATGTGTAAACGTCATACTATCATTCATTCTAGTTTTGCAGATATAAATATTTCTTTATACATTGTTAATGTAATTGGTAATGCAATTGCAGGCTAGGTCATAATTTTGTTATATGATGATATAGATAAATATGTTGAAGTCATGAGGTTGCCATTCTACACTAAACAATAAGTATTTAGTTTGTAATATATAATTACTTGATCATTTCTAATTTATCAAAACATCACTTGACTGACTAACAGGCTAAAGGCTACAGTATTTTTCATATTTCTGTATGTAATTTCGGCAACCATATTTTAGCTCTAATGTTTGATATTTTACTTTATTGGCACTGACAGTGATTTTGCTTGCTGAATTCCTTAGTTTTTATCTTGTCCATATGTTATTAATGTTCCAGTAAACTCTGCATCTTCACCTTTTTTGAGGAAAGTTGTAATAACTCAACTCCTAGCAACCTGCTTTCATCTAAAATTTGGATTCAACTTGTATAAGCTGACGTTGATTATATGGAAGCTTTTAAATAATGAAGTATGATTGTAAATGTATCAAGTTTAGCCACAATGGGCTATATTTGCATAAATGACTTTGCTACTCACCATTAAGGAATAGTGCAGGCTTTCTTTCTTTTGTGTTCTAAACAAATAAATGATGAGTTTTTTGGGTTAGTCTGTTGTAGCAAAAGGATAATTGTTCAAACCTTTCCTATGCCTTATGCTCCAGTAATAAAGTTGTTGGGTCAATGTATAGGGAGTGAAGTAGGGTTTTGTTACATATATTCAGAATTTAATCATTTACTTATCAAATATTATATAGCATTTAACATATATGATGACCTTGCATGCTAGATAACTGATATACAAATTGGGCAAGAGAAATACTCCTCTAACTGATTTATTAATAAAAGGTGTAACTTTCATTATAACTTAAGCTATGTACCAACCTCAGTTGTCATTTAGAAAAAAGAACATCGTAAAAAAAATTACAAATATGAACATCAATGAGAATAAATTTTGAGAATTTAGTATATTGCGCTAAATATTCCTACCATAAACTCAAATCTAAAATCACACATAGCGCTATATAGTACTCTATTTTAATCAAAAGTAGATGAAAACTATCTGTTGTTGGGTAATTGGAGTGCGATGATTGTGTTGTGGTGGTAATGTGTAATAAGTTTATGAAATGGTGTAAGAAACCACATATAAATCTTTATAAAAACCTTTTCTTTTTTGAAAAGTATTCATGTTATTAGCTATCCATGGGTTACTACTCGGTTAGCTTGAAAGACATGTTTCTGACGATTCTGCAGAGATTGTAAGTACTACATATTTTATTAAAAGTTTGGGCTCTGCACAATGCAAGTGATTACGAGTAATAAATTGTATTCCTTAGCTTTCGAATGCTTTATTGCCCGTTCAGCAGCTACCAGCAAAAACTGTTTTTTGTTATTTTAAAAAGCGGAGGAAAGTATATGAAATATAGTAGCTAGAAATAGTATGGTTTTGTTGAACTTCAACCAACATTGTTTCTCTCGGTATCAGACACTGATATGATTGGTATCAGACAGTACAAAGACCTTGAATTCAACTCAAAACACAACTAAAGTAAAAAATTATCAAAGTTAAAACAAAAGGAACTTTGCTAATAAATCGAGAGCAAATGGTGTGTTTTCATGACTTGAAAGCTGCCATGTTGTTAGATTACTTCGCACTTCTGACACTAACCCTTCAACACACGAGTTACTTTTGTGCAAAAAAGGAGTTAAAAATACAATTTCCACTTATGGAAAGAAAGTAGTGTGATCACGTGTTTGCTAAAATGCGATAAAATATTTTGAATTCAAACAATTTCAAACACATAATACTAAATTTAAAAATACTTTTAAGCCCTTGAACTTTTCAATTTAATTTAGTAGGTTTTGTACAAACCCTGATAGTTTAGATTTAGATAGTTTGTCGACTGCAGTAATATCTTTCATGTAACTCGTTATCGGTCTAGTAAGTTAAAACACAGTGACAAGCTGGCAGAGGGGGGTGGGCAAAGGGCGTCTTCATCACCCAGCTGTTGTTCTAGGTGGTGATGAAGTGAATAAGGGTTGACAAATTTCGAAATAGAAATAACGCATTAGAAAGAATACAGTTGGTAATATGTCATCCAATAATTTTTTTTCGGGTGTCTTTCGGGCTTGCCCCCTAACCCCTAAGCACTTGTAATTGCTAAGTACTTGCTAGTAATATGCACTTGCTAGTTTTTGATATACAATTTAAACGTGCCTTAATTTTTTTTTCTACGCTTTAGATGGAAAATTATCCAATAACAACTAACATGGAAAAAACGGATGAACCTCGTCAAAAGAATGCAGATAAATACTTAAAAACACTTGTGCGTAAACTTTCAAACTCACAGATGTTGAATCTAAAGACAAACTATACCGTGTTTTACCACCATATTGTTAAGCCATGGGATACTTTCCTGGCTGCCATTTGTGTTATTCATCAGTATTGTGTCTTTAGTCATATCTTGCTGATGGAGGTAAATAAGTTGTTAGTTGACAATAACCGCAAAGACACAAGAAGATTAAAAAATCTGCAGCAAAACCTTACCCGCTTAACTAAGTGTTTGGATGAAATATCTCTTCACTACTCGAAATTTGCATTTAGGAAGGAAAAAATTAAAAAAATAAAAAAAGTAGTGAAAAAGATTAGAAATGACATCCGTAAACTTCCTGAAATAAACCATCTCTATGATTTAAAACTCACAAAAGATGATATTCTGTGCTCAGTGCTTGGTTTGAAACGTGAGGTCGCTTGCAGGCTTCACGATCTAAGTCATTACATAAGAAAACACAAGAGTGACAAGAAAAACTTACTCCAGCTTTTGAAAGAGTTTGAGGAAGATGACAGCATTAATAACCTCAGAAATTCAAATGATGTTGCGGTAATTTTGCAAAGGATTGGATTTACAAAACATCGATCTGATTTTATTGCCAACTGGATAGTAAACATGGATGATCCAGATCACAAATCAATTTTATCCTGGGTGGAAATTTACATTGAAAATCATTTTCAGTATGATACCGTTTTAAATGATAAAGTCTTGGATTTCCCTTACAAACAACATCGTTTAGATAAATGGTTTCAAGAGTCTGTGTCACGCTTTGATGAAGAGGGAAATTCCCATCCTCATTCAGTTAACATAATCAATGTTAAATCTCAGGAAGATGCTCGTCAACAGATTGAAAAGATTGAAATCAAAGTTTGGCAAAGTAATCCGGGAATGGAAGTGTATTTCCATTGCACTGATCACAAGAGTGCTGAAAATATCTTGGAAAACTCAATTCACCTGGGTTATAGTCGAGAGAAATCAGACTTTTCTGATGGAGAAGGTTTTTATGTGGCAAATGACGTACAATACGTATTAAAACAGCATGGCACGACCAGTTCACATATAGCTATTCTCATGTTTGACATGACTCCAACAAAACAGAGCAAGTTCAAAGAAATGAATTTATCTAGTTCTGAAAAAATAGAAGACTGGAAGTCAATTGTTCAGTATTTTCGCTCTGGCAAGAAAAATGTTAATAATTTAAGCCAGAGTTTGCGGTCACAGATAAGAAATTGTGATTACATCAGAGGACGTGTTTCTTGTCGTGGTGCTAGTCTAAATTGCGCAAACAACAGTGTTGAGCAGATTTGCATAAAGAGTCAAGAATTGGCTGACCTAATAGGGTATCCATCGTCAATTTTAGGTGTCCTGTTCATTGAGGCTCAGTCAGGTTGGATGAACAACTTCTCTGAGTCTTCTAAAAATCAATCTTTAAATTGGGATTCTGCTGATAAATACTCCAGTAACAACAATGATTCTGGGTTCTCAGAAATTCAATCTTCTTCCAATTCATCTTCTAACAATTCATCCGATAGCCACTCCTGTGACATCCAATTCTATTATGCCGACGCCAGTTACAGTCTATGATTCATCTGATAGCCACGCCAGTGACATTCTATGATTTATCTGATAGCGACACCAGTAACAAATTATTTTCTGTCATTAGTTTTAGAATCAAATGACATTCCATCCTCTAAGTTATTGATCAACTTCCATAATTTCTTAAAAGAACGATACATATTAAACATTTCAAGTGAACAAAAATTATCAATAAAGTAAACATCTGTCAAGCTTAAGGAAGCACTTAACAAAAGAAAACTTAAATTGGACCTCAATAAACAAATACGTCACACAAGCACTATAGTCAAGAATATTAAGTAAGTGTAGTAAATAATTCTAGATCATTTAGTAATTCGATACCTCTAACTTAAATAATGTAACTATTGTCGAAAATGGAAATTGCCATTGTATACATTACGTGCCATCAAGCAATTTTTCATTATTTATATAAAACTTTGTAAATAATTTCATGTTATATATACGCCAATATATAAAAGAAACCTTGCTGATTTCTTCATGAACCTAATCTACTGTAGTACCCTGTGATCCACCGTCATATACTCTTTAATCAACAGTTATACCCTACGAGATAGCATATGAGATATCGAATTTGTAGCGAATTCAGATTTGGTAAATTTAAGAGAATAGCAGTAGCAAATAAACTGAGCTTAAATGGGGCAAAAACAGGATTTATTGTAATTGGATCTAAACCCGTGCATAGTAAAATCCGTGATTTTTAAATAAAAGTTACTATTTGCAACAAACCGATCAAGCAAGTTTCCCAATATAAGACTTTGGATGATATTGTTGATGAAAATTTACCTTGGAAGATGAATACAGATATTATCAAAAAAAAGTTTCATGTGGTCTGTATGCTCTAAAAGTAATAACACAATTTGCTAATCGAAATACCCTTAAACGTTTATACAGGGCGCATCGAAAAATTCTAAATTCAAATCTGTGGTTAAATAACGTAAAGTAGATTTGAGAAAATCATTTGAGTTTTGCGTCTTTGTTAAGTCCATTTGTTTACCTTTCAAATGATGTTGTATGAACCCTTCAGCAGAAAAATGAAGGAGTTTTCTTCGAAAAATAAAATTAATAGAAATCACAATTTTCCGACGATGGAAATTGTATTTTTTTTCTTTTAAAATTTATTCCCACAAAGCTTTTAAATGATAATCATCACTGCAAGCTTTGGTCCTCGGTATCATCTGGTAGACTGGCACAATATGAAAAAGTTTCAGCTGAATGGAATAAGTCTAAATCGTAACAAAATTATGAAAATGTTATTCAAAAACAATTTCTTGAATGCTAAACTTGCATTATATTTTGTCTTTACGTCTCACTTCAATATTCCCTCAACGGAAAATTTTTATTTCACGCAACAAATTTGAACGGAAAACTGGTTGGTTAATTTTAAGAGAATCTTGAATGTAAAGTGGTATAAACAGAAGCATAATGGGTTATTTTTTATCACGATGTAAAAATTATATGCTTTTCTCGAGATTGCTTTCGGCAGTACTCAACAAAGTTTGATTTGATATTTTTTGATAAACGCTGTATAATGCATTAGTACATCCATACTTCAATTAGTGTTGCGAAATTTGGAGTGTTTTGGTGGAAACTCAATCTGAACGTTTATACAAACTTCAAAATAGAGCAGCACGTTTAAATAGCAAACTTGCCTAATAAATGTAATCAAGAAACTGTCTTAAATGCTTTAGACTGGGAACCTTTAAAAGAACAGTGATTTAATAGGAAAGCAAAAACGATGTTTAAAATGCAAAATAACAAGGGTCCAAATTGCTTCCGAGGCTTATTTACTTTCAAAAATGAACTTTTAAAATTTAAACTACAATCTTTTTGGGAGAAACAGCTTAGTTTATTTGTTTAGACCACGTACCAATAAAATGAAAAAAGTTCTGTTTTTGATGGAGCTGCCCAATGGAACTCTGTGCTCACTAATTTGCGAGAGTGCAAACTGTAAAACTCTGTTTTGAAAAAAAATCGCTACTCATCCGTTGTTAATATAGTATTATGTTTCAAAATCTCATCTTCAAGTTTTGCATGTCAATCTTTTATTTTTTTTATAGTATTATTGCTGCGGGGCGAGCGAGTCTGAATCGAAGCGAGCGTAGAAGCAACCAAAAGTGTGCAAAGAGGCGTTTCGGAACTTAATTTTACGAAGCGCAAGGAATTGTCGTCGTGTACATTCTCGATGCGCAGAACACAAATTTCAACTCGCCAAATATTTCTCCAATGATATTTCTCATGTGAACACAAACTACAAGGACACAGTCTGCACTATTATTTGCACTATCTGCTGATTTTAAAATATTTCAGGATAGCCATCCCTGTACTAAGACGCTAGTAATTGTAGTGTATAGTATGTCAATATTTATTCATCCATTTTGCTTATTGTTTCTCTTTCAAACTGCATTAAGTTTGGTCTTTATATTTTTCGTATCTATAGACCTATATTTATAGTGGCATACACTTTTATTGTAATAATGTAGAGTTACACTAGCACTAGGCACTATAGCACACAATTTCATGTTTTGAATACATCCTTCAATTTCTGTTGGTGTAATTCTACAGACTGAGTTATTGCTAGAGCATGTGGCATACTTCTCATTTTGCGTTTGCAACAGCTTATATTCAAATATAATATTTTTTAGTGTAACCTGTTTCAAACATGGCTTGCCCATTTCTAGTTATTCCAGTTGATAAAAACCAAGAAGATACATGTGTTCTTTAATAAATTTGCCACTGGTATTATCTCAAAGGCAAATAAAACCCCATCTTTTAACCAAGTTAGTTTACACCAAGACCTAAGTGGTAGAAACTGATGAAGCTCATGTCATTGATGGAAGACCAATAGATAATCAATCTTTGGTGGAACAAAAAATTGTTTTTCATATGAAGAATGTTGAAAAATTGCTGCGGCCACACATAAACTTTCCATGAAATGTAATCTATTGGAATGGGGCAGGAAAGAGCATATGCTCATTGGATATTGAAATTTTTGTTGCATCGTCTTCGCTTTGCTCTAATATTTATGTTGATATTTATGTTGAAAGGATTTTTTGCAAAATAAATCTTGGAAAACTAAACTTGGTTCTTGATGGTTTTCCTCCTCTTAATACAAGTTCCAGGTACATTTAACATACATATGATGTCCACTATCATGTGAGTACTTGATTGATATGTAAGTTAAAGTACTAAATCTGACCAGTAGCGTCGCCAGCCTGCAGATTTAGTTCCGCTATGTAAACTTTGAAGGATAATCACTATTCTTTTTTTAAAAATCTATTGTTCTCACAGTCAGTAAACACAAACATACTTGCATAGCAGAAGTAAAAAGTCGAGCTGGCTAGGCTACTGAATCTGACACGATAACAAATAGCTTTTGAGTATTTTGAATGGTTGTGGACAAACAAGGTGCAAATATTGATCATTGTTTAAAAAGAAAGATCTCTTTTAATGCTTCTTCATCACCAAGAAAAAGTTACTATAAATGAGTCGAAAGTCATTAGTAAAGCAGAAAAAACTTTGTCACATTAAACTACCCCAAATTGTATGGGGAAACTCAAGGGCTCTACTGATTAGTTGGATGATATAGTACAGGGACTGGTTGCGTGAAGCCCGGATAGCGTTAAAGTGAATACCGATTCAGTAGCCAAAACGATGGCGAAAACGTGATGTGCTTGTTGTGCTTGTAACAACGATTCTCGCTATCCAAACTTGATGAAAAAGAATGAAAATGGTAATCGCGTTTCAACGGTTTTCAGTGCAAAAGCGCTGGCCGCAGAAATGTTTCCGCTGGATAATAGTGTGTGCGTTTCATCTTGGGAATGAATTATAGAAGATAAAGACAGCTACATTTGCCATTTGGAATCAATACATTACGAACGTTTGTGTGCCGAGCCCTTTGGCGTTGGGAACTAATACAACTAAACAGAGTCACTATTTTCACATTATTTCTTTGGATTGTAAGAATCGTATCTACAAGTACCCCAAGCATATTACTTTGTAGACACCGTTTTGTTTTCTTAATTCAGACTCGTTTACACTATATCAGATTGCTTTCGCATCGGATTGTTTTTCTATCTGATAGAAACTTATATGATTAAGTGTTCACAGTATATGGCCTCTTAGCTGTTCCAAATGTTTCTTATTTTTGGTAATGAATAGTTTGGGTTCGAATCGTGTGCCAACATTAAATAACATGTCGCAAACACCCAAATTGTTAAAGTCGTGGACAGACTCTGAGATAGAGAAACTTCACCGAGCTATTATGAAGTTTCGGGCGTAACAACAGTCAAATTTTGCACCAAATCAGAGTTTCTATCTAACTGCACTGTTTACACTAGAGACGCTGTAGTCACATAAGCCTGGTTCCCATATAGCTAATCGTCTCGATCGTCAGTCGTTTAAAAGCTTGCAGAGACGATTAGAGTGATTTAATGGAAACATTTTCGACACGATCGAAACGAACGAAGAGATCAAAGCGATTACAGTTGTCTGGATAGAGCTCTGTTCGAAGCGTGCGATTTCGTCCCTACACGCTTTCAGATGACAGACGATCGAGATGATTATATAGAAACCGGGCTATAGATAACGCAACGCTTTTCATGTCACCTCGAGATCATTCACTTCAAACTTTTTACATCACTTATGTAATCACTGTTATTTAAAACAATTTTAAAAGGATATTTGTATCATAAAACTGCCAAAAGAACACATTAAAACTTGAAAACTTTTAAGTTAAAACAGTCAACGGTGTATAAGAATATATAATAGGCTTTTAAGGATGTACGCAAAGTTTACAGTTTGTACCACGTGACACATGCGAAAATATTACACGTGCTTCCTATTTGCTAAGTGATGGATTGACCATGTACTTCGTACTAATAATCTTACATTATTTATGATAAACATATCACAAAATCTTTTCAAACTTCACAACTAAGAACGCCACCAATAATGTTAAAAAGAAATCTTAACACAGTTTTAAAAGATATGTTCTTTATAATTCCTAAGATATACTCGCGAAAGCAAATCTAGCCGCTGGGTCCATAGTTCATTTTCTGTACATATAAATTGGCTGCGGGTGCATAACTTTTTGCTTGTCAATTTTTTCTAAAGGATTGTGTATCTAGGAAATAATTCATCGATCACTCGTAAATGTTGGCATTGCATCAAAGCTAGGATTCGAATTTGCTGAAAAGTGGAGTAACACTTCATTTAAGTTAAGAAAATTGATCGGAATCAGCTCATTCGGGCTTTGAATTTCAATACATAATTTCTATTTACGTATATTTCAAACCGTTTAAAGTTATCTACCAAACTTGTAAAATCGACTAAAGTATCACACAGCAAATGCTTTTCTACCTTAAATAAAGTTGATTTCAGCTGGAGTTCAAACTTTTAGGACGATTTTAGTATATATATTGTAGTACTGAAAATTGCGTCATAACATTTTGTAACAAGTTTGCTAATGCAATTGACATTTCAAACTAA